CTTTGGAAGGTCACTTAACCTCCAGGAGTCTCAGTTTCTCCTCTGCATAGTGAGGAAATTAATAAATACTTTACTGTGTTTCTAGGAAACTTTGAGGTTATGTAAAATAAAGTATCTAACATACAGTAATTATGTTAATTCCCTTCCTACACCAATAGACTTTTGAAGAGCAGCTGATTCCATGGTCCTAGGATCAAGCCCCACATCAGGCTCTCTTCTCAGCAGTGAGACTGATTCTCCCTCTTCCTCTAACTGCTGCTCCCCCTCCTTGTTCTCTCTCTTAAATGAATAAAAAAATATTTAAAAAAGGATGACCCACCCATATGCTGTCTACAAGAGACTACAAGGTACTTCCTGGTAAATATTGACATTCCATGAGCTCCCCTAAGACTCAGGATATACATTATACTGTACAAAAGGCCTCAAGGAAGAAAATCCTCTTAGTAGTTAACCAGTGATGAGGAAAATGGGTCACCAACTAAGCTGATTACATTCCAGGCTTTCCATCCAAGCCAGATACATTTGTTCAAGTTTCTTGATAGCTCTAAAATATGGCTAGATCTCTGAAGTCCTCTTAAGGTAAAAATCAAAACAAAGAAAGTGCAGTGGGTGCAAAGCTTGTGCTAGACATGGAGATGTGTGGCCTAGACCCCCTTCAAGGAATGGGTTCATGCTCAGCTGCAAAGATTGCTTGCATGAGATCATGCCCTTCCCAAAGCAACCCATATATAGCAACTGAGGGTGAAGAGGTCCCAAGGGCCCAGCGAGTTTTGTCTAATTGGGAGGGGGCACTCTGATCTCACTCCAGAGGTTTGCACCAGATTGGTCAAGATTTTATCAAGCTTTCTTTTTGGGAAAATTTGATTTAATTCACTGCATCACAACCCACTAGTGAATTATTTTCTCACCTCCAAATATAAGGAACTAAAGATATCTCCATCCCCCACAATTTCTTCTATGTTCATCCCAGGCTACCCTCTTCCAGTGAATCCAGCTGAACCTAACATTGCATTGGTTTGCTGAAAGCCTGAGAATAACAACCACTGGCATGTCATCTCTGGAATTCCGCAGGCCACTTCTGCACTGCTCCTTCTCTCTTGACCTCCCTCATCTTCTGATTTTCTTATTTGGCATATGGGCACAGATATGTAGCTGTGTTGTCAACTAAGGCAAGAGATTGGGACAATTAAAGCTGGGTTATGTCATTTACCTCAAATAACTAAGTGGTGTCCCTAAACTCAAGAGATATAACAACAAGGGGAATTGAAAGCATCTTGGGGGTCATTCCACCCAGACCCACCCAAGTAGGTCTAATGAATCATGGAAAAGTTTTAATTTTCTGTCTCTGTCTCCTCTCTCTCTTACACACACACACACACATCCACATAATATTGGATAAACACTAACAAATTCTTGCTTTCAATTCCTGAATATTCATCAAACAAAATTTAATAAAACGAATTGGATGTTACTTGTCTTTAGGCCAATAATTTCTCAATCTTGATTGGCTCTATCAATCATTTAGAGGAAATTTCCTATTTCAATAGTTGGCTATTTTCATCTATTGCATTTATATTTATGCTAATTTGAGGAAAGCCTGTCAATCTCATGTATCTAACAATCAGAATTGAGTCTTGGGTCTCGACAGCAGAAATACCTTGATAAATTTCAATCAGGGGTTGGAAAACTAGTGTCTGGGAGCCAAATCCAGCCTGCCACCTGTTTTTGTGAATAACATTTTATTGGAATACATCCATGCCCATTAACCTACATATTGTCTATGGCTGCTTTCACATTCCATCAGAGGAGCTGAGTAGGAGTGACAGAGCCTACACTATTTACTACCTGATTTTCTTTACAGAATAAGTTTATTGACCCATGATGTAGACAGTGGTTTTGTCATCTTCCAACCAAATAATTTCTCTCACCAATGGCTATGGCCCTTAAGTTATGTTCAGATGTATCCTCCAGATGATGGCCAGAAAATATCCATATATGGAAATACCATGTGCATGTATACTGGTGGTCTTACGGTTCTTAAGGTTTTCGGTGACTTGAAAAAAAAAAAAACCATTTCCATACTGAACTTGCTGTAGATTGCATTGCAGAGATCACCACTGAATAAAGACCCTCAGCCTGGCAGAAAGTTATCAAAGGCTTAGACCCTCCAAGAAAAACTGATTGCTACCCTCTGTGAATTATTCAACTTATTGGACTTGTTTAATCTGTAAAATCAAGTAGCTTAGCCTCCATAATGGGTTGATGTAAAGATCTAATGAAAGAGAATAGGAAAATATGTTGTAAGGTCATATGTTGCAAGGTCTTTTGTAAATATGAGAGGGAGTACAGAAACTTTAGAAATCACTGCACTGGGACACCTGGGTGGCTCAGTTGGTTGAGTGTCTGATTCTTGGTTTCAGCTCAGGTCATGATCCCAAGGTCCTGGGATTAAGCCCTGCACTCAGCATGGAGTCTCCTTGTCCCTCTCCCTCTGTTCCCCACAGCCCCCTCCCCCCCACTCACTCTCATTCTCCTCCTCACTCTTCTCTATTTTTCATAAATAAATAAAATCTTCAAGAAAGGAAAGAAATCACTACATCACAGTGTTTCATATTTGGCAATGGTTCAACACAATACAGAGTCTCTTAGTTGATACCAGCAAAATAGTTTCCTTGAACTTCTTGCTATCCCCAAATTTCCTCAGTTGTTAGCTAAAGGCCTTGGCACCAAACACCCTGGTGTTAGATCTCAGTCCTGCAGACAAGACAAAATATTGACCCTTTTGCTGGGAACATTCACCCTCACTTGTGTGCAGAGACAACCTCTCAGCAGTTCCCCAGTTTTAAACAAACTGAACAAGAATCCCACTTTGAAATGGCTTCCTGAATAACTGGGAAGGCCCTGAGACACCCTCAGGCACCCAGGGAAGTTTAGTCCAATAACAAAGGTTGCTGCATGGGGACCGAGGTAAGCTGTGTGTTGAATGCTCCGTGCCACCCACCGTGAATGCTCCCTCAGACTCACATTCCTCCAGCCCAAGAGTAAATGAGCAGGAGTCTCTTCAGCATCATCTAAACCTCTAGAATTTACTGAAAATCAAATGATGATCTAGGAAGAATGGCACCCAGAGACAAAAGTGTTAGAATCCCTAAGTGTAGACAGTGAGAACACAGCATGCATCCCTGCATGGGTGGTACTGAATGATTGTGGCTAATGCATAAAGAGACTGTGTGTGTGCGTGTCCGTGAGTGTTGGGGGCCACGAGGCCTGGTCGAGGGCATTGCCCCACTAGGTTAAGGTTTGAACTAATGCTGGCCTAGCCCTGCTGGGGTGGGATCGCCCCCGCAGGTGACTGCAGAGGGCAGGATAGCCCTGCAGTTAAGCAAGGTCTGTTAGTCTCTTGCCTTTTCCTCTGATCCCTGTATCTCTCTCAAATAAAGACCCCTTGCTAATCTGCTGGAAACATCTCTCAGGCTTATGGGCTGGAGCAACTCCAAGGAGATAAATTATTCTGTACCTAGGACAATGGAGAACTTTAAATGTGGACCGCAATAGACGGTTTCCTACCTAAGCTGATGTTTGTCCAAAGCTTTCACAAACTGAGCCATTAAAATACACCCTACCTCCTGCAAAGGTAACGCCTTCTTGTTCCTACTTCCCTCCTATATCCTTAGTTTCTACAGAAAGCTTCTCGTTTTCCATGAACCTATCTCTTGTTTTCCTACAGTTCTTTATTATCTAGTTCATCCCTATAGCTTCTTGTTTTCCATTAGCCTATATCTTGTTTTCCTGCAGACCCAAGAATAAGTTACCAAAAAGCACCTATTTGTGCTACCTCCCATGGCTTTCTGAGGGACATGATTACTCAAGAAGCAAGACCCTGTCCCCCATCCCTGGTGCCAGTCTGTACCATTATGGCTTAACTAAAATAACATGGGGTGAACAAAGAGGAAATTATCTGATAAGTGCTTGTAACCCCCTACCCCAATTAAACTGTGTATATAAGAAGCTCAATAATCAGAATAAAGATGGAGATGCCTGACTACTGACCAGAACTCGCTGTGTGTCTCTCCCTTTCATCTTGCCAGCACCACTCCTCCTTCGAGGAACACCTGGACCTGCCGAGGCTGGACCCCAGCATGTGAGTTAGCATAAATGTAATCAAGCTGCCAGTGAGGGGAGTGCTAAGGACTGTCCGCTCTGGAACCAATTTCTGGTCCAGATTCCGGAGCTGTCATTGGCTCGCTGTGAGCCTTGTGGGCAATGCAGCAGATCAGGTCACTGCTCAGCAAGCCATTTCCTACCCCACCGTCATGTCGCTGCAAGAGCGGTCCTTGGCTGCTCTTTGAAAGTTGGCTTTGGCCCTAGGACTTGCTTTGGCAGGTAGGATATGGGCGGAAAGGGCAGCATGCCAGTTCTAAAGTTGAGAACTCAGGAGACGTCACCTATTTCTGCTCATGTTTCTGATATCATCCCACCCCTCCAGGAAAGCCGCCTGCCCCAGGCAGCCACTGACTTTCTTTCCATCTGGGGCCACAAAGAGAACTCATGGGGCAGAACCACCTGGGTCAACCCGCAGACCTGTCATTGCGTGAAAATAAGCGCTTATTGCCATGTACCACCAAGGTTTTGCTTTTATTTGTTACACAGAAAACAAAACAAAACAAAACAAAAAAACCTGACTGATAGAGGCAAGTTGGTTAATCCCCCAGTTTCTTCTCCAGGAAAATGGGGGGAACACATAGCGCCTGCTGCAAAGGGCTGTGATGAGAATGGATTAAGTTAATGTATATAAAGCACTTAGAACACTTCCTGGCATACCAGAAGTGCTTAATAAGTGTTACCGGTTGTCGCTGTGGGTAAAGGTCTGAGGAAGTGGGTACCCGAGTGGGGAAAGAGTGGATGAGTGTGGACCCAGTTGTCAGGTAAGCAGGTGCGAGGGGCCGAGGGAGAATGGGCTGGAGCAGGTGTGTGGGCATCTGGAGGGGAGTGCCCCCCCTTCAGCAAAAGTACTCATTGATCCGCCTGGCCCCCCTGGAGCCCAGGACCTGAGAGTCCAGGCTGGACCGGGCAGAGAGGAGCCTGTCGGCCTCACTGAGGCTGTGCTGAGACAGCTCGGAGCCGTCCTCGCTGTGGCCCAGCCTCTCCAGGTTGACATAGGCCCCCGTGGCCTCAGCAGAGCCCCCCCGTGTGGCACTTGCGGCAGCGCCGCTGCACAGCTCTGCAGCACACGAGCAGGGTGAGGGGCAGGGCGATGACAATGGCCACACTGATCACCACCACGTTGATGAGCCGCTGAGTGGCCTCGGCATCCACCACCCCATCTGTGGAGAAGATGACACACTGCTCCTTCTGGGGCATCAGGTCCCGCACACAGACACACGCTACATACTTCGTCTTGGGCGTCAGCCCACGGATGGTGACGCTGGTCTTCCCAGGTGGCACCACCACCCGCCACATGTTGTGCTGCCCGAAGACCGCATACAGGACACTGAAGGTGGTTGTGTTCCCAGCCTGGGGGCCCTTCCACACCAAGGTCACGCTCTGGTAAGTGTCTCCCACCACCTTGAGAGACCTCACCATTCGGGCCTCCTGGCGTCCTGCCTGCCCATTCGAGAGCTCTCCTGGAGTCCCCACCTGGAAGTGCTGGAGGGTCAGCTCCCCCTTCGTGTTGGGCACAGGGGACCCAGTGGCCAGAACAGCAGGTCCAGGGATGTCAGGGACATGCCTGGCCACCATCTTGTTGTATGCAGCAGCTCCCGCCCCCTCACCTGTCCTTGTCCACAGTGCCCCTGGGCTCCCACTCCGTTCTGTGGAAGCCTGAGGCTCCGTGATGGATAGGGAGATGACAGTCTCAGAGACTCCCAGAAAGTTCTTGGCCTGGCAGATGTAGTCTCCAGAGTCGAGGAGGGACACAGCAGGCAGGCCCAGCAGCATCCAGCTTGTGCCATCGCTGGAGACTTCCTGGTGCACTGTGGGGAAAGAAGCATAAGGGGGGGGAAATGAATGGGCTCATCAGCCCCCAGCTTCTCGCCAGGGCCAAGTTCATAGTCCCCGGACTGTGCATACTCTTGTATACACAGCATACCTTGTCATTCTGAGAAGACACTGGAAGTCGTTCAACTTTCCTTAAACTAGCCAAGGGGATCAAGATCACTGGGGTTCAGAGTGGGGAGACCTGGCTCAGGCCAAGTCTAAAGATGATTTGCCTTCCCAAATCTGCAGTATTCAAGCAATATTCTCCAGGGCTCTGGAGTCCTATAGAATGGACTCCTTGGGGCAGGAAGCAGCCCTTCGGGGGGTAAGGTGGGTCAGGTGAACATGAGACAGAGGCCCAGCTGAAAGTGCTTGGCGACCCTGTCCAGACCCACTTGCCACCCCAACACCAGCATTTCCAGCTCTGTTTTACATAATGGAGATCTTGATCCAGTTTTGCTTGTAAACTGATTTCAAACTCACAGTCTTAGAGAAACACTTGCCAACCTAACTGAAGGAAACGCCGAAGAAAGTGAAAGAGACATAAGGTTTTCTGGTCAGGCGCTAAAAAATGATCGCTCCTTGACCCCCTTTCTGCCCATAGGTGGGCCATGACTCCTGCAAACCCCACCACCCCAGGCCAGAGATGAACCATCTCTGTCTACACAGCAGAAAGAACACAGGCTGTGTGCCGTAAGCCAAGTGCTCAGCCTCTCAGGGTCTGCATACGTACAAAACAAGAAGGATAATCAGGTTGTTCTTTAAAATTCAGTGACATGTGTGCATAGCAGACTTAACACGTGAGGTGCTCAAGAGATGGTAACTCATGTGGTTAATTACTTCTCATGATACTGGCTTAACAATTACAGCTGGACACTTACTCTAAATATTAAATATACTGAGAGTATCTTCCACCTAAATGGCAGAGTCTTGTTCCTCCCAGGTGGGCCCAGATTCCACGGTCCTGGATCGAATGGCTCCTGGAACACGTAGGACAGGTTGAGAGCCACTGTCCCCTGACCTCCCCCGACTGAGCCTGCACAGTCTCCGTAGCCCACACACCTGTGCCTTTGAGTGGGCGCCCGTTGGCTCTCCTCCAGCTCATCTCTGGCCCAGGGATGCCGGTGGCCCCACAACGTAGCAATACCGCACTGCCCAGCGGGGACCTGACGCTGGCCGCCCCTGGACGGAGCCCCGGACTCTGGCACTTCCTCAGTTCCAGCTGGCTGAAGGTCACTCCGGCCAGGCTGCGTGGGCTGGCGCACTTCAGCCTGGCCTCTATGAAAGCCAGATGTGGGGCCCAGCCTTCCAGGAAAAGGGCCAGGTCATAGAGGCGGCAGTCGCAGGCCCAGGGGTTGTCCTGCAGCCCTGCAGGGGTGAGAAGGGAGGCAAGTGGTGAGCCCGCGATATTCAGATCCCCATGCCCAGCTCCTCTTCCCCCTCAGGGAGGACAAGGCATGTCCTGAGCTCAGAGTCAGCAGAACTGGCTTCCAGGTCCAGCTCCTTGCCTCTCTAGCTGTGGAACCTTAAGGCTGGTTCTTCTTTTTTTTTTTTTTTTAAAGATTTTATTTATTTATTTGACAGAGAGATCATAAGCAGGCAGAGATGCAGGCAGAGAGAGAGGAGGAAGCAGGCTCCCCGCTGAGCAGAGAGCCCGATGCGGGGCTCGATCCCAGGACCCTGAGATCATGACCCGAGCCGAAGGCAGTGGCTTAACCCACTGAGCCACCCAGGCACCCCTTTAAGGCTGGTTCTTAATCTTAATGGTAGCAGTACTTCCCTTTCAGAGCTGCTACAAGCATAAACAAAGGTAAATCATAGTAAGCTTTTGGGTAAGTCATGTATCATGCTGAAAAAATTGGCAATTCCTTCTGCCATCCTTGGACTGAGCCTTTCAGGCTACTGGTCAGGCACTGAGTCTTTCAGCAACACCTGCCAAGTGCCCAAATCCATTTCTCAAAATTCTCAAATTCAAAATTTCCCCAAGTTTTTTCATGACCCCTGACCCTTGACCTCTGTCCTCCCGGCTTACATGGCACTTTCAGCATCACGCTAGCAATGAAGGTGACTGTCCTGAGCCATGACCCCTTCGGCACAGCTCAAAAGTGGAGGAGTGAGGAGTCCAGGAAATCAAATCCTATGTCATATCCGCAGAATTCTTCAATTTAAAATTGAACTTCTTTATAGAGATGAAAGTACATCTCTGTACCGAGCCTGCCCAAGAACCTTCTACAGATAGAGGGGTATCATGTGTCCTCACTTTTAAGTCACAGTTTCTTTTTATATGTTTGCATTTCTAAAATATGAAATGAATGCATTTAATGTGGTATCTTTTTATTTTCCAAAGATTGTTACTAAATTTGATAGTATGTCTGAGAATCAATGGCATATGATTTATTTACATACATATATGTGATATGGTTGGAAGTGGAAACATCAGGGGGTGGGGGGATTACATTCATCTGCTTGTACAGGGGGTATAGCTCAGGGGCAGAGCATTTGACTGCATCTGCTTGTACATCCATGACTCTGAGGTCCTTCTGAACACTTGCTGGGAGGATACCAGTTTCTTCCCCCACCCCTCCTCACCCCATCCGTTTGGTAGCTGCTACCCTGTGTCACTGGTTAAATGCACCCCGAGAATTGTCCCTGCCCCACTGTGGTGGTGAGCTAGCTGGCTTTCACCTGTTGTAAGAGAGTCCCCAAAGAATTAATCCAAACAGGAAAGTTAAATGACAGGGAAATGTTTACCCCTCAGACTGGCAAAAGTTAAATGTTCCAACCATTTTCATTATTAGCCTCATGAGGGAAGAGATTTTCATCTATCTTCTTTTCTGCTGCATCCCAGCACCTAGAACCAAGACCCCACATTGATGGGCAATAAACTTTCAGAGTGGGAACATCTGCATGGGTGGTCTCACGCATTACTGGTGGGCGTGGGGGAGAAATGGCCCAGCCACTTGGAGACTATCAGACTGATCTCAAAATGTCTAATGTGCGCACTCCATGACCTAGGATTCCCCCTTTCAGTTCCTATCCTAGAGAAACATTTGCATGCACAAGGAGGCATTGTCAAGAATGTTCTCTGTGTCATCATAGGTTTTAGTAAAATAATGGAAAGAATCTAAAGGTCCATTAAAGGGAGAATGGCTAAATTAACTGTGTGTAAGTCTACTATGGAAAATTATGCAGTTTACAAAAAACGAAATGGATCCATCTGTAGTAACTAGATCTCCAAGACATACTGTTGAGTGAAAAAGTTAGTGCTGGTTGATATATACAATATGGTCTGTACAGTATGAAATTTTACGTAAAACACACAAAGAATTTCTATGTGCATGTATATATACATACATATATATATATATGTATGTATATATATGCATGTAAATGCATTCTAAAAGATAGGGAGCATGCAAATATAACAGTGGCTACCTGTTAGAAGGGGAAGTAGGAATTAGAATTAGAAGAAGGAACAAAAGAGTCTTTAGCTTTTTCTGTAAAACATATACAATATATATATGAATATATCATTTAAAGGGCACTTAGTTAAATTTTATTTTCAAATAAACAATTTTTTCCATGTAAGTACTATCCTATACACTATTCTTTATCAGGTGAGAGAGTCTGCCCCGGTAGGTGGAGCTGGAATGGGGCTTGCTGTTCCCTACCCTGCTTCTAGTCAGTAGGGCTTCTAAATATTCCCTCCTTCTGAGACTCTCCTGGGCCTTAGGGCAGAAGCTGCCCCAAGCCATTCTAAGCTTTCCCTAGCCCCTGGTGCTGAACCCTATACGAGCCAAGGCCTGCCCCAGGCACATCCTGCTAAAAGGTGTCTCTCCTACTACTCATCCTCTCCCTACCACCCACCCTCTACCACGATGCCATCAAGGTTCCCATCCCCTCACAGGACAGAGGAAAGAGAACCAGTCTATCTGACATGAGCCTTAGGCCCAAACCACTGCTTACTACTAATCCCTAGGTTGTGTTTGTTCTATAAAACAAAGGGCCTTGTACTTATGCTATCTACCCTGGGATGCGGCAAGGGTCAAGTTCTATGAGAGGGCAAGAAATTAGGAAAGCTTCAGGGCCACACTAATGCTAGATGGCCTGTAAGGACTGACCAGTTAGCAAAGAGCCAGCACCACCTTCCTGCCATCTATGCATACTCAGTGCTCCAAGGAGACTCTCAAGGGGATGGGTGTGGTCACGAGCCTTGAAGATTGTCAGAGGTTGGGTTTCCGGGAAGCAGACCCCGAGATGAAGATTAGCACGCGGCATGTTCATTAAGGAGGAGAGGAAGGAAGAGAGCAGGAGGGAGACATGGAGCTGAGATGAATGGGGGTCTGGCGAACCCCTGGGGGTTCCGGAGCTCAAATATCCCATCTTAGTTATGCCAAGTGGCTGGGCCCTTAGACTCCCACCTGACAGGTCTTGGGATGGAGGCTGTGTCCAGAAAGGGTGCATGGCCTTGGTCAAGGCTATTCTGCTGTGAAGGCTGTCCCCGACAGCGCTGACAGCTGAAGGCTGCTGTTGACAGCCCCTGGAAAAGTGGGGCAGCCAGTCCTACTTTGACAGAGAGCTGGGTGGGACTGTCTTTTTACTTGCAACACAACCTTTTGAGAGAGATATTATTATCATTCTCTCTTTACAGAGGGGAGCCAGGGCACAGAGAAGCTAAGCAATTTCCCCAGGGACACACAGCTAGGAAGAGGCAACGCTGGGCTTTCCACTGGCAGCAGCTTGAGCTCCAAAGCGGCCAGTGGAAAGGCCAGTGTTTGCCTCTTACCCAATCTTTCCTCGAACCCACAAGGCAGGCGTGATTTCTGTTTTTCAGGTAAGGAACAGAGACTCAAAGAGGCTTAATAATTTGGCTAAGACACCACCTCCCTCCCACCCGCCCCCCACCCAAGCCCCACGCACAAGGTGGCTCCAAGAGAAGAATGCCGCCTCTTACCTAGCACCAGCCTGGTGCGGTGCCCGGGAAGGACGGGCCCGGTCTGCGGGTGAGCCCAGGTGGCCAGCAGCTCCTGCGGGAGCCTCAACAGCTGGTTGTTGGAGAGGTCGAGGAAGGTGAGGTTCCCCAGGAAGCGCGCGGCCTCCGGCGGCACGGCGGCGAGCCGGTTGGCTTGCAGGTCCAGCAGCCGCAGCTGGGGGGCGTCCTTGAGCGCCTCCCAGGGGAAGGCGGCCAGGCGGTTCCCGGGGAGGCGCAGCTCGCGCAGGCGGCGCAGGCCCCGCAGCATCAGGGCGTTGAGCTCGCTGAGGGCGTTGTAGGGCAGCCACAGCTGCTCAAGGCGGCCCAGCGGCTTGAAGACCTCCCCGGGCACCCTGCGAATGGCCGTCCGCTCCAGGCGCAGTCTGGAGGTGTCGGGAGGGAGCGACGCGGGGGGCAGGGTCATGTCGGGGTCGCTGCACACCACCGTCCTGGTCACAGAAATGGGGGACATTTGAGTGAGGAGCCTGTGGGGTCCGACACCCTCTCCCACTGCCTCCGGGACCTCCTTTCACGAGGTGTCTTCTGGTCTGCACCGAACACCGGACCCCCGAACCCAGGCTCCGAGCTGCCGTGGGCCTTGGACGTGGGCCGGGAAACAAGCAGCCTCCTGATTTCCCTCCGCGGGGCGGGGATGGGGGGTGCTTCTTGCTTTCAGACCCTCGCACAGCGCCCCTTGGTCTCCTCACTGGCCTGAAGGACCTCAAGCTTAAACTGCCCTCTCTCAGGACAGCTCACACCGCCTGCCGGCACTAAGAATGAATAGAATTCATAAACCCTGAGATCATTTTGTGCACTTCAGCATGGGACGTAGGTATTAAAAGTGTTCCTTTGTTAAATTATATCTCAGTTTTGGTGACCACTTTGGCTTATCTTCATTAAATATACATAAATATAAATTATATATATAAATATAAATATATTAAATATATATAAATATAGATTATATATTTATATATTATATATAATATTATAACATTTTATATATATATATAATTTATCTCAGTGGGCGTCAGAAATGGAAGCCATACACCGGGTCCTTCAGGACTGCCCTGACTCAGGGACCACAAGATGATGAAGGCCTCTAAGAGCTGGGACTTTGGGGCTCAGCAGTTGGATTCATATCTAGGCTATCTGCCTGGGGCTATGTGTCCTTGAATCCATTGTATAACTTCTATTTCTTCAGTTTCCAGTAACAGACTCCGCCTCTCAGGGTGGTTTCAGGGATCAAATGAGGTCACATTGTGTACCCACTCTGCATATCTGTCACCTGCCGGAGTGCCACGCTATTTATTGACGCTATCACAAAGTTCGGCATCCCAGCACTGCAAGCTCCTTGCAACGATCCCTCTGCCTAGAAAGCGACATCCTAAACCTTGTTCTATTAAATTTAACAATAAAGCAGAGGCTAGAGAGAGAAAAGGAAGCAAGGCTTGCCCTCCAACAGCCTGCCGTTCAAGGCTGTGTTGCATGCTATCCTGGAGAGCAGCACAGTCACATAAGATAAAGAGGGGAAGATTCTCAAGGAGATAAAACTCCTTGGGGGACTCAGCCCTTGTCCAGCCTGTTCCATCCGGAGGGCTTCTCGGCTCACAGGGGAGGAGGTGGGGACAGGAGTCATGGTTTGCTTTGCTAGGCGAGTTGGTTCTCTTACTGTAATAATGTCACAACGCATTGTTCGTTGTAGCCTTCCCAGGGTAGCACCCTCTGCCAGCATCCATCAGCTCAGCTTGAACGCTCAAAGTCCGCTGGCTAGACTTGGTTGGCTTTTTTTGGTCAGTGGTGTCCACAAAAGGCACAGTGACTCCCACCCACTCACATTCCTGAGCTATACATGGTCCCCCTCCTGAGTGATGGGTGCTGTAGAGATTCATGAGAATAGCCAACTCACTGATGCTCTGTCCCTGTCCCCATATAGCCTATAATCCAGCTAAGGAAGAAAAAACACTGGAGGCTGTGGTATTTTTAATGATAATGGAGGTTTGGATGCTGCAAGGAAGAAGGTCTTGTTGTAGGTGGGAGGAAGGTGGTGGTGGGATAACATGTCTTGAAAGGTAGGAAAACATGAAAACATGTCATCAAGGGAAGAATCAAAGAAATCATTAAGAAGCCAGCACAGGCCAGTAGCACATCTAATGGGGCAAACTGGGCCTAAAGAACATGGTGACACCCTCTGTCCAGGTGCCCAGAACGGACCCCCCCTAGGAAAGTGCAGTAGCCAAGAGTACCAAGAGTGCACACACCATGTTCATGATGTGGGAGCATGGAGGATGGGCAGGGAGTATGGGCAGCTCAGGTATAAGGACTGACCCCTCTGACAGGCACTGGTTGGAGGAAAGCTGAAGAAGACATCTGGAACACAAGAGGAGCCTCCCCCTGACTGCGCTATCCGTGCCTGTGGCCACTGAGGACCTCAGGGTCCCTAGAGCCTCTCACGGCATCATTGCCCTCCTAGGACAAAATAGGCAGGTGGGCTTGCGCATGTCAGTCATGGGACTGTCAGGCAGGTAGAACTGATGAGCTCCGGCTTCAGAGGAGGGATGGCCACTGGCTGACATTGAGGGCCCTGGAAAGTGACCTTGGAATTTTATTTTCAATCCTAAAGTTAATCTGGGGGTGCTCTCCCCTCATCCCTGCCCATGACAGCATCATCAGATGAGAAGAGATCTGGATATGGACCTAAAGCCCTGGGTTCTATGACCAGGTCTGTCACTGATGCTGTGTGACGTCGAGCCCTGTGCTTTCTTTGCGGTTCGGTGGGCAGGGGAGGCTCTTCCTCACCCTGGTCACATTGTCCTGCACTGTGGGCTATCTCCTGGCCTGCTCAGGGCTCTGCTCTGGCTTTCCTTGGGGAGAGGATCCTTATATCTAATGATCCATATGGGTTGGAACATCAGAGACCTGGGTCAAGAATGGAGCTTTTCTTGTTCTTCAGACCACATGGATATCCTTTCATGGAAATGCCTCTCCATTCACTCCATCCCCTCACACCCAATCAACCCAACATGCATTGCCAGGATCATTGTAAGGGTCACACTGATAACCTGCTGCTCTGATCAGAAACCTCAATGGCTCCCAGCAGCCACCTAAAACAAGGAAGAAAAGGAGAATACAATTCCAGGATGTTGAAAAGACGTTAGGAAAGACCCTGTGCCAGGAGCTAAAATCCCTGAGCAAGTTGGGAAATGCAATGGTCATTAGTGGGTAAGTGGAAGATATCAGAGAAAAGATGGTGTAAAGACGACCAGAGAGAAAAAGGAGAGTGGCCCATGGTGGAAGAGCAAGGGTTCACAGATCACAGGGGCTTTGGAACATCCCATGGAAGTGGAGGAGGAGAGGATGGAGGTACTCTCAGGGCTCAGGGGGGCTTAGGGAAATGAAAGAAAAGGCTGAGAATGGAGGGGTGCTTGCCTATATGGAATGAGATTCCTGGCCTTTCCAAAAGACCAAAGAAATGGGTTGAGGCCAAGGCTTCTGGAGGCTAGGCCAGAGGAGCCCAAAGTGGAGAAAGCAGAAGGCAGGTGGTCGCATTATGGGCGGGGTGGTATGAAATACCTGGGATGTGATTGTGTACCCCCAGGAGGTGAGGCAAGAGAATGGAAGAGGCCCAGGAGAAAAGGGGCTGGGAGATATAGGGAGGATGGTGGAATGGGAAGAAGAAAGGAAAGAGAGGAAAAGAAAGAGGTAAGGGGGAGACCCCCCTGCCCTGCAGAGGGTTCCTCACCACCAGGATCCTGGAAGAGAACTCAGGAAGGATTTCCTGGAGTGGGCACACTGGTGCCCCACCCCCACTCCCATGTGTAAAGGGACTTGGTACTTCCCATGCCCTGCTGGCTGAAGGACAATGCAGAACAGACCAGCCCCCTTGGACACCTGGGTCTCAAGGGCCCAAAGATGGAGGTCTCACCCAGCCATGTTCTGGGGACCCTGCATCCAGGCCTCCCAACCCAGCCGAAATGCTACAGGGACCCGGGGAGGGGGGCGAGGGGAGGAGGCTACCCATCCCCCACACCTGATGCCATACCTGGCCTTGCTGCCATCACCCAGGATGTGGAGGCTGCAGCTGCATTGAGACGGGCAGGAGCCCTGGGCTTGGGGGTGCCCCCAGAGGGCCAGGAGCCAGAGCATGCCCACTGCCACCCTCATGGCTCCTGGCTCCTCTGTAGCCCGGGCAGGGGCCTTACCCTGCACTGCTCTGTCGTCTTGGCCCAGGAAGCCCAGCAGCTGCCCACTGGCTCATCAGCTCCCTCCACACCCCTCCTGAGGCCATCGGATAAACAGGGACAGACCGGGGATTAGGGAGGGGAGCCCTGGTCACAGCACTTAGCGGCTTATAGCTCCTGGAATCACCCATTCCTGAGGGTGAGGGTTAGGGATCCTCTTCGGTAGCAACAGCCCCAGGCCCAGAGAGGCCAGGGAGTGGCAAGGTGGGGCGGGTGGGCAGCGACTCAGGGCCAAGTGGCTCCTGGACTGGCCAGCTTGGCTCTCCACCTGCAAGGTCACCCCATGCCAGCCAGGCTGTGGGCTACAAAGACCCTGCCTGGGTACCTGGGCTTAGAGAAGGTGAAGACAGACCTGGCTTCTGATAAGGTCCACTGGAAATTCTCTCCCGTGACAGCTCAAGGGTGAGGGTTCAAATCCCAGCTCTACCCATTTACTAGGATAAGTTACATAATCTCTTCATCATCTGAAAAAGGGAAGCAATATTACTCTACCCCACGTGGTTGTGAATAATCAACACCCCATGTTTCCCAGATTTTGAAGGCCTATGGGAATAGAAGCCCCCTCCTAAGTTGTAAGTACTCAGTTTCACTAGTACTTACAAGCACTTGCTCCTAAAGGTATTGGAAAGATTCAGAGATCTTGGGGGACACCGCAGAGGCATGTCCTATGGTGTCGTGAACTTTCCCACTCTGCTGAACAGCTGGCTCCCTGAATGCCCCCTGGACATCCAGTGTCAGAACACACTGTCCAAACCAAGCCTTTGTGGGCATCGCCATCAATGCCAAAGGTGTGAGGTGTCTCTGCATGAAGGCAGAGAGCATCCCTCTCCTCTGGTTATCATACTCTGAGCAAAGTCCCAGAGCAGGACCTCAGGACTTCTTAGAGAAAGCACTTTGAGTTTTTGCTACTTGTTGCCTGCCTCTTACTGATGAGGGAGCAGGAGGCTGGCTGAGGACAAAGCAAAAGCTGGCACCTTGCACCCCCTCTCCACCCGCTCCCCTCGGTAATGTGTGTGACATTCCTCAGGCACCCCTGACTGCCGTAAGCAAGAAACAAAGAGTTAACTTGCAGAAATCACAATCCTACAAGACAGGAGTCTCCCTTGGTTTACAAATGTCCTAGAGATCTACAAACAAAGAAGTTACCTTATCCACAGCACAATTTCCAGAGGCAAATAACTCAGTTCCTCAAGCCCTAATGTCACCCTTCCCTCCATAAACAAAACTGAAGGAGGCTGAGGTAGAAGGAAATGTAAGTATAGTTAAATCTCTTCTGCACCTAAATCTCACTAACAAAGACGCTTGATAGCAGGATTGTGACATCCCACGAGGAATCTCCCAACTATCTTGACATTAATGGCTGGCCAAAAGATAACATTGATCAAGCCGCTAGTCCTCCGGTATCTGGGCACCTTGTAGGCCCTCTTTAGCATATGAAAACTCTGTTGAAACCTCCTTTCCCCTCACCTTCCCCCCCCCCCCCCCCGACCGCAAGGTACCTAACCTGCCATCTCTCACAACCCAGGGCAGCAGCTCTTCCTGACCACGGGTCCTGTCCCAGTGCTTTAATAAGCCACCATTTTGCACCAAAAGATGTCTCAAGAATTTTTCCTTGGTCATCGGCTCTGGACCTCAGCCCACCGAACCTCATCTAGGTTCTAGAACTTCATCACTACCTCGTCGCATCATAGACATCACCCTCTGCTCATTCGTTCTTCACTTGTGACCCCAAAGCTCTGCTCTTTGGTCCGGCATGGCCTTCCTGGTTCCCTCAGCTTTTCCAGAAGATTCCCAATTCCTCCAACCTATAGGCCTAGGCAGGCTTAGACCAGTGAGGTATGACCAAGCAGATACCTAGGACCCTAGCGCACACATGAAATGCCTAGCTCTGTGCCAGGTCTGTTTTTGACAATCTTGGCTTCCAGGAAATGTTGGTTTCCCTCTCTTCCTCTTTTCCAACCTAGCCAATATGATTTTCTCACTGCTTCCCACCTGTCTCTCCTCCTCCCAAAACCAAGAAGAGCACTCCTTACTATTCCCACATCTCTGCCCTTCCCACCTTCAGCTGGGGATGTCTTCCCTTCTCTCTCTGGCCTAACAGAGCTCAACCCTTGATTCCTGTCCATGTCCTGCTTTCCCCTGTCCCTTGAAGTCTTCTGTGATCTTGTAGGCATGAAAAAAACCTGACATATGTATGAACCAGTAATGCAAGATAGAAATTAGGAAAAGGGGGTAACTGGGTTATCTGAAGAAAGTTTTCCGGGAGGATATGGGTGGTCTGCTCAGCCCTGCTGGGTGGTTGGGCTTGATTAAGTGGGGACTGACAGCAGGAAAAGCATGGGAAATGAACATCTGTGGGATAGAATGAGCTGCTTGACCCAGAGTCCGGGGACAGGAGATGGGGCTTTGTTTCAGCTTCATTCACAAATCACTGCATGACCTCAGGTCAATTCTGAACTGCTTTGAACCTGCTTCCTCACAGGAAATGCAAAGGATGATTGTCTCTAATTCATAGAGTTGCTGTAGGAATCATCCTCAGATCAATTAGCCCAGAGTCTGGCTCTTAGCAGGGCCTCAACATTAGCTATATTGTTGATAGAGCTCTGGGTCTTGGTTTCTTTATCTGAAAATGAGTGAAATCACTCTAGATCAGTATTTCCCCATATCAATTTCACCATTGGCCAACACATAACTTCTCATCTGTAAGAGCCAAAGCTCTCAGCAGGTTGAGAGGCCGCTAAGACAGCAGCCCCGCTGTGCCAAGCTCATGCCTTGGGAGATTTTTATGCTTGTGTATAGTAAATGCCTTGTGGGAGTTGGGAGCTGCAGCCCAGAGGCCATATGCATGATGTATTCTTCCACCAAGACTTATGCAGGCCGTGGGAAAACATGTTTGTTTGTTTGTTTGTTTGTTTAAAGATTTTTTTAATTTATTTGACAGACAGGTCACAAGCAGGCAGAGAATCAGGCAGAGAGAGAGAGGGGAGCAGGCTCCCCACTGAGCAGAGAGCCTGATGCGGGGCTCGATCCCAGGACCCTGAGACCACGACCTGAGCTGAAGGCAGAGGCTTAACCCACTGAGTCACCCAGGCTCCCCAAACATGTTTGTTTACCTTGCAAAGGAGGAAACTGAGAAGACCCAGGTGGTCCCACTCCAGCGTACCTAGCTGGTTAATGGCAGGTTCTGAACCACAAACTCCGTCACTGGTCCCTGTTGGGATTCTTTCTACGACAACACTGGCTTGCCAATTATCATCCTTTACCCTTCACTTGTGAGGACACACATGCCGGGGAAGGGTTGGCCCGGAACCAATTCTCAGGGACAGCTGCCGCTCAAATCCCTCTTTCTGCTCCCCACCCCTCCCTTGGTTATGCAACTCTTTTCTAATTTGGCTCTCAGCCACAACCGTTTGGATTCTGGGAACTTAATCCTGCCCGATTGGGCTGAAATGAATGATAAAGGGGTCCATTCCAGCTTCACAAAGGCTGCACTGTCCAACTGATGAATGTGTTCCTTCTACTTGGGCCAAAAGCACAGTTTAGGGCAGGGGCAGCAAGAAGGAGCCCAAGGCCTAGCATAATCACCTGCATGTGCCTGCACGTGGAATGGCCCTTTAAAAGGTGGGGCCTGGCTTAGAGAGCCCGAGAGGAGCTGGGCGGCAGGGACAAGGGCCCAGCATGGCAGAATCTGGGTCCCTACCCACCGGCTTCGGGGAGCTGGAGGTGTTGGCTGTGGGGACGGTGCTGCTGGTAGAAGGTGAGCAAGGAACGGCCTGGGTGGAGCGGGGACCCAGTGGGCTCCCAGATTCAGGCCACAGCTATGGAGCTGACAAGCAGAGGTCCCCAAACCCTACTCCTCTGTCCCCAAACCCTACACCCAAACCCTACACCTACACCCATGGGGCTTCTGATGGGTGCACCTATGGGATGCAGGCTGGGAGCTGAGAGAAAGCAGCAGGGCTCAGAGAGTCTGCCCAGAACATAAGCAAGAACCAGGCCCAGGCCTTTTCTTGTCCCCCCAGCTGGGTTAAAGTTTAACCTACTCCCTGAAAATCCTGCTAAGAATCTCATGTAAGCTCAGGCCTCTGGCAGGCTCTGGAGACAGACAGCTCTGTCACCTGCTCTCCACATGACTATAACCAAGTCAGCCAGGTTCTTGGACCCCACATGAGTGATCTTGAAGGTTAGGAGGGGTCATGGGTGCGAAGGTCTAGCCTCGACAGACACTCAGGATTTAATCTCTTTTGCCCCCATCCTTTCCATCTCCACATTGCTCCCATCATCTCCATTCCCCAGCTCTAAGCATTTCCATTCCAGGGGCTGCCTAACTTCCTGAGGGGCCCATCTTAGCCCAGAATCCCTCAAATGCTCCTCAAGGCCAGAGTTGACCCTGGAGACCTGGTGCTGGGTCAGTTCACAACTGTTAATCAGGAATGCAGCCCTTGTTCACATCTGAACCAGAGAGATTGTCAAACTGTTTCCTCCCCCAAGGAGAACTGACGTTGGGGAGGGAGTGGCAGCCACTAGTCTCGTCCCGAAGGCCCTGGACACCATTGTCTGGGGCCCCTGCCCCTCTTCCTCTCTTCTAGGAACCCTACAATCCAGCAACCCTCTCAGTCCTCAGTCATACCTTGAAACTTTACCACTTTAAGTCTCTGCACATGCTGTTCCCCTTGTCTTGAATGCTCTTCCACACCCTGTCCTCCCAGTAAACATTCCTCCCTTTCGATGGGGAAGCCAGGGTTCAGAGACCTAAAGGAACAGCAAGTGAGAGCTCCAGGTCTGGTCTGCCTGCTGCCTAAGGTTGCCCCCCTCCAGCCCACCTCACCGGCTGCTGTCCCAGGCAGACCCCAGCTCAAAACTCAGACCCTTCTCCCGGCTCTCCCTAATGTTGCTGAACGGCCCTCGGAGTGGCATTTTGGAATTAAACAGATGTGAGTCTTGGTCCCAGCTCTGCCACACTCACTAGCTGTGTGCTTAGGGCAAGCCAACTAGTCACTCTAAGCCTGTTTCCCAACTGCACATGGAGAGGACAGCATCCAGGTGAACACTGAGCAGGAGGACCCAAAGAAAGTTCTCAGTCCCCTGAGCAGATAAGCGTCAGCAGCTGTGAGTGACTGCGCATGAACCGCACTGCACCTTATTGCTTTCTTCCTTACTTTTGAGTCAGGAGGAGGCAGGATATGCGTCTTATGGCCGATGGTATCTGAGAGCCAGCGCTTCTCAGATATCTTTGACGAGCTGCACCGACAAGATTGCTGAGCATGAAGGGGAAGGAGGCTGAGGCTCCGTCCACCCCAGACCCTTGGTTCTGACCCCAGTCAGCCTCTCCAGCCCTGACACCTGCCTCCCCCTTCTTTCCAGCGCTCACCGGCCTCTGCCTCAATAGTCTCACCATCCTCTCTTTCTGCAAGATGCCAGAGCTGCGGACCCCTACCCACCTGCTGGTGCTGAGCCTGGCTCTGGCAGACTCTGGGATCAGCCTGAACGCCCTCGTTGCAGCCACAGCCAGCCTCCGCCGGTACTAGCTCCCCCCACCCCCTGGGGCCTGACCGCTGGGCACTGGGCACTGGGCACCGGGCAGCCAAGCCAGAGGCATTTTCCCCTCCTATAGAAAACAGTAGGGGACCAGGTGGGCAGGCAGTACGAGGCTAAATCCGAATTCCACACTATCCCTGAAGACCTACGGCTGATTTCTGGAGCACAGGAGTTGCTCAAAACCCACCCACAGACCTGGCAGACTATAGGGATGAAGGGCACAGGTTCCGCAAACAGGCTGCCTCGATGTGAGTGCTGGCTATCTCTTGGTTTCTGCCGTAAGTTGAATATTATTCTCCAGCTCAAAGGGTGGCTGGAAGTATTCACTTGATATTAGGTGGAAATAAGTGAAAATGATGTGTGGCACGCAAGAAGCCCAACAGACGTCAAAATGCAGTTGCTTTTACAAACACAAGTGTCTAAAACCTCCTTAGGTGCAAACCAAGATCTTTCAAGACAGTGTCGGGTGTTTACAAATTGTTTTCTTAAGTGAAACTGCTCCGGTTCCAGGCACTCAAATGAAAGCTGGAGCCCACCTGAGTGTGCGTGCTCAGGGCTGACCAGGCTGTGGGGTCGCGATCCGTGAGGATTTCCTGTCCTGATCTCCTCCTGCCCCTTCCAGGTTCCGGGAGGAGGCAGTAGAAGTTTTTACATTTGCTTGGCCCTTGGGGCTGAGAGCGGGGAGCCCTGGGGGTCTCCCCTCTGACCTTGCCTTCATCTGCTGTCTAACCTTGGCTCAGTACCTCTTCTTCTCTGAGCCTAAATTTTTCCTCTCGGTAGAATAAAGGCATGGGCTCTCTTCCCGAAATGTCCCATTTCCTTTGCCGAAGGCTTCTGACCACACAGAAAGACCCTTTGGTCTGAGCTGCAGAGAAGGACACTGCGTCCAGGAAGTTTGCATTGGGCTTCACTTGGTCAGCCCAGGGACTTGACCTCTAGGGCCCCTGTTTCCATGTAGGAAAAACAGACAATGAAGCCCTCTTCTGGGGACCCGGGCCAACATTCAGGAGGGGGCCCTCCAAGCTCCTGAGGGGCAGGTGTGGGAGAAGGACAGGGACGGAGGGAAGGGGTCGCCGGCCCCGGTGTCTCCCACAGGAGCTGGCCCTATGGCTCCGATGGCTGCCAGGCTCACGGTTTCCAGGGCTTTGTGACAGCGCTGGCCAGCATCTGCAGCACCGCGGCTGTCGCCTGGGGGCGCTATCACCACTACTGCATGCGTAAGTCTTGGTGCTCCCAGAGGGAGGGACGTCTGTGCGGTGAGGGTGACCAGGACAAAGGTCTGCTCTGTGTTTCCCAGTCCAGGGGAGACTAGGTGGGCCTGAGTGTCTATAAGTATGTGGAAAGGAAGGAGGCAGGGAGAGCGGACAGGAAAGGTGCCCCAGGCCCATGCTGGAATGTCAATGCAGCATCAGGCAAATCAGGAGTCCTCTCTGAACCTCTGTCTCCTCTAAGAGCAGAGTTTTATAAGCAACCTCCCAGTTTTATTCTGAAAATCAACTAAGGTCATAGATACAGAAATGGCCTTGCAGACGGGCCCCGTTGTGGGGCAGAGAGACTATGTGTGTGTGTGTGTGTGTGTGTGTGTGTGTGTGTGTGTGTAGTGGGTGTGTATCCCTGCACCTCACACTTCCGTGGGGCCTCCACCATCTCAGGGCTTCATGAAGACCAGCGCAGCCCCAGATCTCCCAAGCTGCACTGTCAAATACCACCTTCATAACTGGCTATGTCACAGTACCACCCGCTCTGTTATTTACTTGATTTTTTTTCTTAAAAGCTATTCATTTAAAAAAACACAAACATCTGCTCTAGTCTCATCCTAAACAATGTCTCTGAAATCACAACTTTAATGTCCTTGCAATTTTAGTACACATTAAAATTTAAAAACATGTTCACCCACTGGCCGTCTAGAATCCTGCTCCCCACCAGGGATATGTGAACAGACCTCGGGGAGCTGTGAGTCTGCTAACCCTTTTCACAAACCCCAACTTGCAGCCTGGGAAGTGGGGGCTCAGAGAAGTTAAGCCCTTCCCCAAGGTCACCCAGCTAGGAGAGGCAGAGCAGGCACTGGGCATGGCCGGGATGCCTCCCACGTCACTCACTACTTTTGTTTCCTGGGCTCCACATCCCAACCTGTGGCTTTCTTGGCATGGAGCCTGCTGTGGTGGCTGTGGCCAGCATGGCCTGAAGCCCTGGGCAAGGCCCCTTTGGAATCTGAAGTTCTGCTCTCACCCCGCCATCCCCCCAACATACACAGCCCACCCCACCCCACCCTCGACAAAGTCACATACCTCTCCCCAGGCCAGAAAGTTGATAGAAATGATAAGATTATCATTTCTAGAGGTGGGTGAGTCTCACTTGCCCCACTTGACCTCAGAGCTCCTCTCCTGCTGCTCCTATCCCAGTCTGGCCCCCAAGGCGCCCTCAGACCACTGTATGCACACATATACACACATACACACTCACACACATGCACATACACAATGCACACCTCCTCGGACAGCAACACACTTCTCTTCTTCAGTATAGAGCAGTTGATCCCTATTCTGGAGTCCCTAGAGCAAAGCCTCTCCTAAGCTGGAGGGCACCGTGGAACAATATGAAAGCAGGGGAGGGGGAAGGTGGGTGTCTGTGAGCTTATCCACTCCATACTGGATGACCCTGGACATATCACCGTGGTCATCTGTTTCCAAAGCCAAAAGAGCAATACATCAGTTATGGTAACTATTAATCATTGTGTCCCAGTCAGGGGGAGGGGTGTCTCTGTCAGCTTGGGCCGCCATAACAAAATACCATACATGGATGCTGAAACAACAGAGATGGATTTCTCCTAGTTTCTCGGTGCTGGAAGTCTGAGATCAGGGTTCCAGCATGGCTGGCTTCTGGCATCCTCCAGGCTTGCGGACAGCTGCCTTCCTGCTGTGTCACCTCATGGAGAAGAGAGATCATCTCTTTTTTTAAAAGATTTTATTTATTTGTTTCACAGAGATCACAAGTAGGCAGAGAGGCAGGCAGAGAGAGAGGGGGAAGCAAGCTCCCCGCTCGATCCCAGGGCCCTGAGATCATGACTTGAGCTGAACACAGAGGCTTTAACCAACTGAGCCACCCAGGCACCCCGAGATCATCTCTCTTGTATCTTCTCACATAAGGGCACTAATCAAATCATGGGAGTTCCACCCTTGTGACCTAATTACTTCCCAAAGATTCTCTCCTGGAATGCCATCACATGGGGGGGCAGGGAGGGGGAAGGCTTCCACACAGGAGTTTGGTCAAGGCTTAAACACTGAGTCCATAGCAGGAGGACACATTCAAGCAAACTGCCTCCAGGGCTGTTGTCGGGGAAGCAGTGTCCAGATGCGGGAAGGTATAGATCTGCTCTTCTTTGTGGATCAAACCCCACTTGGAGACCTGCCCTCTGCCCTGGGGCCTTGTCCACAAAAGAACATGACAAATAAACCACAGACAGATGAGGTGCAAGGGAAAAGCTTTCTGAAGCCAGGACCAGGAGGAACCACCGGATAGGGAAGGGCTGGAGGAGGCTGCTACAGAGAGGGGCGTGGGAGGAGGGGACATGGAGGAGGTCAGGTCAGTGGGACTGGTCACATGAAAAAATAATGTTGGGACCAAGCCCCTGCCATCAGCACTGAGATGGCACCCCAGTTCCTCAGAAGGTATCCTGGAAGCGGGACAGTGGCCTGTGTCTGAGCCACAGCCAAGGACCGTGGTAAGTCCAGACTTCTGCCTCCCTCCCTGTGACTCTTACCTGAACTGCACTGCCCATGTTTCTTCCCTAGTTGACTTGGGGAGGCATACCTTTTTTTTTTTTTTTTTTTGCTGCTCCCTCCTTCTCTGTGCTCTAAAGAAGGTGGTATAGAATGTCTCCCAGGAGATGTTCGCCACCCATTATCTCTTTTATTCTTCATAACCATCCTCTGAGACCTGGATTATCATTCCCATTTTGTGGAGGAGAAAATGGAGGCTCAGAGAAACTTTCAACTTGCCCGAGGCACTAAGCTAGGAGCATCAGAGCCAGGATTTAGGAACATTCTGTGTGACCATGAAGTCCATTCTTTGGCACGCCACCAAGCAAGTACCTCCTCTCCACCCTCCTCCACCTCCTCTCTCCCATGCAGGCAGCCAACTGGCATGGGACACGGCCATCTCCTTGGTGATCTGTGTGTGGCTGTCTTCTGCCTTCTGGGCAGCACTGCCCCTCCTGGGCTGGGGCCGCTATGACTACGAGCCTCTGGGAACGTGTTGCACCCTGGATTACTCCCGGGGGGACAGGTGAGGTGGGAGGAGCAGCTTCAAGGCTCCCTTCCTTGGGAATCTTTGCTTTGAATTCTTACAACAACAGTGTCACAGCTGAAAATCCACATGGGGAAATGTCAACATGTGCCAGATAATCTCAACTCCTTGGTCATGATACCCACTTGCAAGTGGACAGTGGGACTAGGGAAAGCCCGTTCTGCAAGCCAGACAAGTGATGGGCATGTGATGCAAATAATTAAATAATAACAAATATAAAGTTGTGCCCCAAAAGGAGTATTACCCAGTGAGCTGTTGGCCTGTGTGAGTCACTGAGTCACAGTCAGCAGTCACTGAGTGCCATGACCCCTTTGCCATCTTCAGTGCAGCCAGGCTGTTCCAGCTCCGACTTGATAAGTTTCTTAAGGGAGTTGTGTCCTTTGTTCAGTACAAAGAATGTTAAGGTCTTTGCATTGGGAGGGACCTCCTTGGCATAGAGTTTAGTTCTTGAGTTTCCTGAGCACCTGCTGTGAGCCAACCCCTGGGCCAAGCCCTAGAGAGACAAGATTGATGCATGATGGCCCCCACCGTCATGGAGCATGTGTCCAGTACTGCCCCATCCATGTGGCTCTGGAGACACCAGGGCCTAGAGAGACCCTTTAGGGGACATCTTGGGGAGGAGCTGCATAGGCTCCAGCCCCACTCTTTCTTCTACTAGAGCCATGTTGCATTCATCTGCTTTACAAGTCTACTCATGACCTACCTGCCCCTGATGACAGGCTTTCCAGGTGAAACCTGCTTGAGACCCCAAGTCTGGTACAATTGTCCTTCCAGGGCACTCCCTACAGGTGTCCTCCCAGCCAGTGTCCAGTTCTCTGGCAGCCTTCCCTCCTACCCCTCCCTACTGGGCAGCACCAAGGTAAAACAGTCTTCCCTTCACAGAATGGGAGTCTACCTTCCTGGGACTCCCACCTGTTCCTGATCAGCCCTCCCACTTTCCCATGACCCTTCCTGGAACCCCAGACTCTCCTGTGGTCCTTTCAGTGATTTCTTCAGTGACACTGTCCAGTCTCTTTGTCATCTCCAGACCCCTTTCAAGTCCCTGTGCCAGAAGCATTCCTTGAATGATCCTTCCTCTTGGTCCATTGACCTATCTTCCACTTGGTAAACGTGTTTTCCAAACTGAAGTGTCCTATTCTCCATGCTCGGGGCATATACAGAAAGCAGGCCTGAGTACCTGAACTGCCCAACAGAAAGTTGAAGGAGGACTCCCCCTCATCTCAGCCCTCTGGCTCTTACAGGCAAGTTCAAGAAGGACCTAGTGGCTCCCTGTCTCTAAGGGGAGTCTGTGTGGGACGCTGGGGCGACCACACTCAGAGCTTTTGTCTGATGAGAACAGTTCCTCATATGTGGCTGTCTAGGGCGAAGGCTAATACTCCTTCAAGGGCAGCTGACCTCCCCCCATCCCCAGAGATGACCCTGACTCCTCTACCCCCTCTGCCTGCAGAAACTTCATCAGTTTCCTCTTCACCATGGCCTTTTTCAACTTCTTCCTGCCTCTCTTCATCACAGTCATATCATATCAGCTCATGGAGCAGAAACTCAGGAAGACGGGCCACCTCCAGGTGAGGATCAGTGCCGGAGAGGAAGAAATCCCTCTGTCCCTCTCAAGGAACATGACTGGTGTGAGAGACAGTTGTTAGGGGTTTTCTGTGTTTTCAGTGATCAGGAAAAAATTCAACGTTCACAGAGCTTGGGCTGTTGGGTCAGGAATGTCCCCTCCCCATTGCTGGGCATTGCCAAGATCCGGGAGGAAGGGTCAGGACTGCTCAGACTTACCAGACCTCAGAACCTTGAGAGTCAGGGCACCCTGCCAGACCCCATTCATGCTGTCACATTTCATTCTTCCCAAGGACTTGGGGGTAGGCCCAAAATGACATACTTTTCAAATATTCCTTTTAAATTGCTCCAAGATGTTTTGTTTAATCACAGACTGTTTTCCAGAACATAAAATCACACCTGCAAGCATATTTGTCCAAGAACAACAATCCTTCAAAAAAAAAAAGCCCTCCTGGCCGTTCCTGAATTTCTGCATTATTAGTCCCTTTCCACAATTTTCTTTTGTCCCCTCGACAATCTCTAGCAGATGAGCCATAACAAGCACCCAAGTTTCAAAGGAAAAAAAATCAGATACTAATACTACTTTTCTGTGTATGATGACATTCCATCTTTGCAACTACTCTCTAAAGAAGGTTTTGTTATCACTTTGCCACAGGCTAGAAAATTGAGGCTATAATAAGGGCTTGTTAAGTAACCAGCTACAAGCCCGGAAGCTAGTAATAACAGAATTGCATCAAACCCAGGCCTGGGACTCCATGACACAATTGGTCATAGTGCATAAAAGAAACATTCAATCTTTGTTGAGACACTTAATCTGCCACATTATTTTTTTTTTTCCTTGTGAATTGGAAAAGGACTGCACAAATCGATTTTAGCCGGAGATCCAGGTTGCTCAGAGTCAGCGGGAGGCCGAGAGCTGGGCCGAGACAGGAATCATGCGTGGCTCTGGGCTCCTGCTCCCCCGCCCCTCACCGCCTCCGGGCTGTCTTCCGCGCTGCCCGCCCAAGCACTACCTGGGTGCCCAAAGTCGCCACGTTTACTGGAAATTCAATCGGCCAGGAGACAGGGCTGCCACACCGGTGTGCTTTTTTTCCCCTCCCCGGCCTGTCGTGAAACCATCAGTTCCCGCAGCATCAGCAGAGGTCGCGGCGCATGGGCCAGGGAGACCTCGGTCAAGGGCAGGCCGGTCTCCGGAGGTGCTGAGGCCTCAGTGCTCCTCCGGCCTCTGCGAAGCACATTTTTCTTTTTTCTTTTCTTTTCTTTTCTTTTCTTTTGGAATGAGGGAGGGGCAATTCAAGAGAATAAATGTCTCCCAACGAACATATTTTTATTTCATGAAAGAAATGTGCCCTCTTCCAACTTAAGTCACCTTCTTCGTTAAAGGGAGACGCAAAGAGAAAATAGGCACTGATTTCCAGCTGCAGCATTTTAACATCTGAATGTGCGGGGGAAGCCGGAACCGCAGCTTCCATCCTGAGAATAGATCGCAAGTCGTACGCCTCCCTGTGGCCAGCGGCGGTACCACAGGGCTCGTTCCCCGGGTTGTCTCACACCTTGCAAAGCCGCTTTGAACCCGGGACAGGTAGATCCACTAAGTGGCTGCAGACGCCGCAGGCTGATGGCGAGCGGGTTCTGGGACTGAGCTGTGAAGGCAGCTCAGCCTGGGGAGCCTCGCTCACCCAGCCACACTCATGGAGCCCAGAGTTCCTCAGAAAGAGCGTGGACCAGGAAGGGAGCTCATTATCCAACCCCTAGTCCCTGCCTCCAGGTAAGTGAAGCATTATCAAACCATTTTTGCAAACAAGACAACTGAAGTCAAGTGAGGTTAAATGACAGGTTTAGGGTCACACAGCTTACCTGCCAGAGAGGTCCATCTGGCCCCTAGCTCCTCTGCAGGCTCAGCGCCTTCCCACAGCTGGGTCACACTGCCCCGCCCTGCTGAGTGCCCACCCGGTCCCTCCCGGTGGGGGGCTGCACCCAGCTAGAGCAAGTCAGCGCCTCTCTCCCGTGACCATCTCTCCGCAGGTGAACACCACTCTGCCGGCCAGGACACTGCTGTTCGGCTGGGGCCCCTATGCCCTCCTGTATCTCTCTGCAGCGATCGTGGATGTGAGCTCCATCTCCCCCAAGCTGCAGATGGTACGGAGCCCTCCCGGACCCAGAGTTAGAACTCTCTCCATCTCTGTGTCTCTCTGTCTTGCACCATCTCTCTTTCCTGCTTTCTGGCCTCCTGGTAGCCTTTTCCTTTTTCCTTAGAACGCTCATACCACCCTGGGAATTTGTTTCTCTTGGGGGCCACACAGGGCTGCTGCTTAACGTTGTCTCACATGAGAGGACAGGGACAGACACACTCTGGGACCAAGGCTGAGACTGCTGTTCAGGCAGGGGGTGGGGGAAGGGGGGTGCTTCCATGCCTCATCTGCCAACTGGTCAAGGAGGCCTTGGGAGTTGCAGAATCCAGCCCAGGACAGATAACTGGTGGCTGTGGCGTGAGGGGTGAGGGTGGGACTGGGGTCACCCAAGTGGGACCAGGGAGAGGTGCTGAGGCTGTGAGGCTTCTTCCCTGAACTTTTCTGTCCCAACAGGTGCCTGCCCTCATTGCCAAAACAGTGCCCACGATTAATGCCATCAACTATGCCCTGGGCAGCGAGATGGTCCACAAGGGCATTTGGCAGTGCCTCTCACCCCAGAGAAGCGAGCAGGACCGAACCCGGTGAGGTTCTCTGGGGGGCTGCTCGGACCCAGGCCCACCCCCAACACCCTGGACTGAGCCCCCTGCTAGGAGGCTGCCCCAGAGTCCTGCCCAGCAACCTCAGAAGCCAAGCTCCAGACACTCATTCACCGCCCACCTCCCCACGCCCCCGGGGATGGCCCTGTTGGGTCTGGCCCTCGGTAAGACATGGGGGATTCAGAGAGCACCCAGACAACATGGGAGGACCTGGGACTTTGTAGCCTGACAAACTTGAGTTTCCATCACAGCCCTCCAAACAGAGGCTGAGAGACCTTGGGAAAGTCACTCCCTCTGAACTGAGCTTCCTGACCCGTAACATAAGGTCTCACTGGGCTGCTGTGAGGTTTAAGCAAGATAATGCATACTCACCATGCACAGGGAACTTCACTAAAACAGCTGTCAGGGTTCCGAGTCTTACACAGAAAGGCATGAAAGCTCCTGGTTTCTTATGGGAGGCCACCCAGGCAGTCAGTGTTCCAGTGCCACTTATTAAATTGAGATCTGGTGCAAGTGACCGCGTCTGTGTGTGCATCTGTTTCCCGGCTTGGGAGGGGTGGTGACCAGCATGGTGACTTCACCGTGCAGAAGGGACCAGAACATCACGTGGTGCATTAAGTGTTCACTGACAGCCGCCGGCACCCACCAGGCTGCATGCTGCTTAGTTGCCAGCATTAAAAAATCAAGATAATGTATTTAAAAGCCCAGATGTCTGAAGATAAGGTCTGGGGGAGGCTCCATGGTGACAGTCTGTAGAACTCAGGGCAGCTCTGCCCTTTGCCCGGGGCTTGTCCCCTTCTATCAGTGACAGCTTGTATGTTCCCTGCAGAGCCTGTAGGCATCTGGGTTTGTGACAGTGGTGGGGTCCACATTCCTGGATGGACATCTGCACCTCCAGCAGAGTCAGCGTTTCAGGGGCAATGTGTGGCAGGTGCACAGACGGGGGGGGGCATTGTCCCAGAGGGAAATGGAGGTGGTTAGCGGGGAGGTGGTGGGTTCTGCAGAAGGTCTGATGATGGAGAGCTGGCTGCCCCAGGCACCCAGGATGCAGGGAAAATGAAAGTTCAACCTGCAGATGCTGAGCAGGGAAGAAACAGGATAGGGTGGTCACGAGGACAGCATCCGGGGGCCTTGTGTGCCAGCACCTGCCTCTCAGCTTTGCAGATGCGGAAAATCAGGTCACGTAAGCATGACTCATAAGAAGTCTGCACTCCGCAGAGGCTGGCTCAGTCATTTTGCAAAACCAGGTGAAATGGAGAGGGAAGCAGCTGTCCCACAGCCCTGTTTTCTAGACCATGCCCTGAGCTGCGTGCGTGTTGTAGAGACAGGAAGCCATTCAGCCTCAATCCAGTGACCAGTCATATTCCTAGTCATAGGCCCTGCAGTGGGAACTGAGAGGGGGAGTCCTGGGGCCTGAGCTGGGTTCACACACAGGCTGAGTGAGTGGCCACAAAGGTGACAGTGTCCAGAGCCCAGAGATACTGGCCCTTCCCCCACAGTCCACGAGTCCTTAAACTGTCTTTACTGAGCACCCACCCTTCATTCCACCGTTAAAGACACTAACCCCGAAAGGTGGGACAAGGGAACACAGAAGAGAAGGGAGGGACACCCAGACTCAGAGAGAGAAGGGGGGAGATGAAAAGGCTGAAGATGCCCAGCGAGAGTAGCCAGTGTCCCCACACAGACTCTGCCCCTACCTGTGATCAAAGAGGTGCGGGGCAGGTTGGCCAGGCATGGTCAAGGACACCCATAGTTCCTGCCCTGTATCCCAAGCTTGTGTAGAGGGGAGAAGGTGGGCTCCGTGCATGTCCACCCTGGACTGGGTTGGCAGGAGACGGCAGGGGCTGAAGCAGCACCCCATGGGGAATGACCGAAGCCCTATGGGAAGCCCCAAGCCTATTTACACCCCCGCCTCTCACCCACGGAATGGGTGTAGGGCACCTTTTCACCTTTGAGCTTTACTGCCCATGTCCCAAAGCACTTTCAGGATCTCAAGTCCTTGTGGACACTATGTGCAGAGCCTCTCCTCTGCCCTCCTTGCCACCACCCACCAGCACCCACCCTGCCCTTCCATGGAGCCACTCACCTCCCAGGCCAGAGGGACAAAAGCGATGGCTGGGTCCTTTCTGACGCCCACCTCCCTGCAAGCCCTTGGGACAGGCACCGGGCTGGGAGAGGAATTAGAGCTGTTTCCTGGAAGAGTCGGCACCTAAAAAAAGTTAGAACACAGCCCCCAAAGCCCTGGAAGCTTCTGGGGCTCCCCCTCCTCTGCCAGAGCCCCCCCAAGGCCCATTCACGGTGCTCAAAATGCCTGCTGATTTTCTCCATGTTCACTGTAGACTATGTCAGGAACTTCCACAGTTGGGAAAACACATGAAGAAATCAGTTACGTCTGTCTCCTTGACGTGTTTGTTTCCTGGCCCCTTTCTGTTCATTGATTTCAGTGAGCAACCCCCCCCCCAACTCTCCTGCCTCCCCAGGCATGGGTTGAGCAATCTATCCCCCAACCAACCCACCCTGTTCCTTTCCTCCATGTGTGTATGTGCCTCCAGTGCCACTAGTAGGGACAGTGCTCTGCTTCCCCCACACAGACACAACTGGCTTTGGGAGACATGCCAGCCTTGTCCCCCAGCCCACACCATCCATCACTGTTGCTGTCATGCTCTCCCCAAGCTCCTGCTTGGACCACATGGTGGCAAACATGCTGTGTCTGTATCGGACCCTGGTCTGATGGGGTGAGACAGGTCCGAGATCCTTTCCAGTCACCCCAGAAAAAGTCCACACCTCTTTATCTCTTCCTAGCTTTTGTGGGTAAAAACTGTGCTAATCTGGCTAAGAAGGCTCAAAAGTAGAGATTACGGTCCAGCTGTGTCCACGCAAGTGGAGTCAGACGTAGTCATCAGCGTTATCAACATTACCAGAAGTTTCCTTCAGAATCTTTGCAAATCTTACATCAAAATGAAACTTCCCCCCATTCTGTGGAAATTAAGCATGCCCTCTGAGCGTCTCTGTATGCTTGGTTTAGTCCCGTGTTTCAGTAGAATTGTCCCCCACTGACTCTCAATGTGCAGAGCATTTCAGCCCCACTCTGGATTTTCCTTTAAGTTTCTGTGGCTTGACTTGGTAACCTATATGTCTCCAGTAAATTAAAAATGTAACCTATGGGGGAAGAGAGCCCTGTGCATGCTATCACGCGTAGTGATGCGGCCTCAGCCCTGCCATCCTGTCACTGGGGAGGCCTGGGTGAATCCGGAGACCTCTCTGGCCCGTCCTGTCTTCATTTCACCTTCCTCTTCATCATCTCAGTCTGAGCGGGTCTCTGACAAGGGCACGAGGCTTTCAGACGCTACCAAAAGTCTGTTTTCATCCCCTCCTAAAATCCATATGTTGAAGCCCTAACCCCCAATGTGACTATATTTGGAGAGAAAGTCTTTACAGAAATGATCAAGATGAAACTAGGTCATAAGGGAGAGGCCCTGATTTAATAGGACTAATGTCTTTGTAAGAGGAGACATTAGAGAGTGCTCCCCCCACCCCCCTGCATAAGCCCCAGGCAAAGGAGAACACAGTGAGAAGAGGAATGTCTGCTAGCCAGGAGGAGAGCTCTCCCCAGATACAACCCTGATGGCACCTTGATCTTGGACTTCTACATCCAGAACTGTAAGACAATAAATGTCTGCTGTTAAAGCCACCCAGCCAGTGGTCTTTGGTTACAGCAGCCATAGCAGACTAATACAATGTTACACCAAAGCTCATTGTTCAAAACAGATGACAGCAGAAGGGAAGGAGTGAGTGCCCAACTGTTGCCACCTGCTCACCAGCATCCAGAGAACCCAGCCAGTCTCCCTTCTGCAGAACCTGGAATTATATGAAATTCAATTTAAAAGGCACAAAATTTGTCTTCTAGGATCACCTACCCCCTCTCAGATCCATTTTTTAAAAGATTTATTTATTTATTTATTTATTTATTAGAGAGAAAGCAAGCAAGCACAAGGGGGAAGGGGCAGAGGGAGAAGCAGACTCCCCACTGAGCAGGGAGCCCGACTTGGGGACTCCATCCCAGGACTCCAGGATCATGACCTGAGCTGAAGGCAGGTGCTTAACCGGCTGAGACACACAGGCACCCCCTCAGATCCATTTACTTCAGAGTTTATTTTTGTAAGGAAATATAAGTACAGTAGAATGATATCCCCCACCCCACCCCATTTCTTGCTGGGAAAGATGGCTCTGCCTATTGACAAACAGACTTGAATTAAAGTCACAAACAAAATAGCAAGTTATCTCTGAGGTATAGGGATGTACAGTCCCTGGCCTCGTCCCTCCCCTCCTCAAATCCCCACTGTAATAATTTTTCTGGGGAGGGAAGGGACTGAGTGATTGATTGATTAGGAAAAAAAAAAGAATATAAATTAATTATAGCTTAAACTACGTCTATACTTTTGCTTAAAAGTAAGGAGCTTTTTCCAAATTTTTCACATAGAGAAACAAATTCAGTAGAAAGGTAACAGGCCTCATTTATTTATACCTTTCTCCTTGCCATGAAATTGATAGGATTTCTGTTGTTTTTCCTGTTAGAGACACTCCTGGTTCAATTTGCTCCAATACAAGTTCACTCTCCCTCCCATCAAACTGCCTTCAGTATTATTTTCCTTACCTCAGTAAATATCATTATTCTCTGTCCTGTCATTTAAGCTAAATGAAAAGAAAATGAGGAGAAAAAGCAAAGATTTGATACGCATAAATACTTCGCAGGTTAGGACCACGCAGTGCTTAGCTTCTACCACAAGGTGGCAGTGCGAATTCAATGATAAATTTCATCTGCCGCTGCTGCTCTGGAGGTGCTTCTCAGAAGAGACTGGGAGTTCCCTAGTGAGGCCATACGGGTGATTCTTGATTCCTGCAGAATCTCAGGCAAGTTTTCTTTTCTGCTCTTGGTACAGAAGCCTGATGTCTAGCTGTTTTCTACCTCAGATGATGTGATTCCCCATCTCTCCTTGAAGGGAACAAAATTGCATGCCCATTGACCAGAGAACGCCCAGATGGCCCTACAGAGTCCCCCTTTTCTTTGCCTACAGAACAGTCACTGGAAGTCTACCAAATATAAACCTCCCAAGTCTTCCTGCACACAGGATT